ACATCTATTTACCTACCCAGTGTCTTACCTCGTATCTACCTGACCCACTAGGTACGCAATCACATGCACACGGACCAGGACGGACTAGCAGTAGAACAAAAGGGCGATTGAGCTTGAGGTACTGTATCTATGTATGTAGGTATCATACGCTCTTGTGCTGACAGCTTGAGATTCAATCCCATACTCATACCCATACACATACCCATGTCCATACCTTCCCTGTCGCTATCCCTATTCCTCCTGCTATCCACGTCCACATCCTCGGAATAATGACGCCAATGACCCTATTGGTTAGAAGCCATGGGAGAAAAAGGGCTCGTGCACAGTAAAAAAAACAGAGGCTAGTAACAACAGTATTGAATGGGGAATTTGATCAAAGTGCGCTGATGCACTGTAATGCCACCACTCCCGTCAACGCCGCAGGAAGTCCTTCTCGTTCCAGAATATCCTTTCATGTGACACCATGCCACAGAATTAAGCCACTCGAAACAACCAACCCAGGCCGTTTCCAACGACCCTTGTTTACCATAAAAGTGTCTGGCAGTAACCCTTTTTCCTAGTGATTCCTCCATTTGGAAACCCCCACCGAATGAAATGATTTTGCTCCGTGTCCAACTCCATGTTCAACTCCGTCACGCACAACGATCATCACATGTGGTACGTGGCTCGTAAATTCTTCGGGTCATCATCTTGCCACTCCTGAGGCTCAAGCTTTGTCCGGTTCGATGGTGACCCGTGCCACCTCAGCCGCAGCAGAAGCCTCTTCCTGAGCAGCTGTTGTCGGTGCGTTATTTACCGGCGGATTGCTGACTAGATTAGAGGGTGTGGCAGGGGTATTTGCCGGAGCGGCGGTCAGTTCGCTGATCTGCTTTTCCAGTTCGCGAATCCGCATTCTCAGCATCTGATTCTCGCGAGTCAAGTTGGCGGTCTCTGCCTGGTAAAAGGCAGTCTCGTCGCGGAAACTGTTTCTCCGTGCCGTGCTGATCGACTCGAGGGGCGATGGGGGCCAATCACCACTTGTAGTATTGCCGGTGCTTGAGTCCTGGCCCGGCTGTGGTCGGAGGGCTGGCGAACGGCTTGCGCTAGAAGGTCCGCGCGAGATGCGTCTTGTGAGCGGAGGGACGGTGGGAACTGCGGGGTGAACCGATGGAAAGATTATCGAGCGTTCCGAGGCAGGCGTTTCGTCGTCGACCACTGCGGTGCTGCTGCCAGCCAGAGCCGAGTTGGGTTGTGAGGACTGCCGGGAGTGATGCCCGTTCTGGCCTTGACTGTTTCGGAGTGCGTCAAGTTGCAGCTGTTGCTCTCGGATCATCTGTAGCATCCGATTTACTTGCGCTTCTTGCTCCTGTTCCAGCTCATTATGGATTTCTCCGAGACTAGGCTGACGCTGATGGTGCGGATCGCCTGTGGCAATGGCAGACCTTCCACCGATGGTAGGGGGGCTCGCCGAGGCGTAGCTGTGACCGAACCCGATTCTCGGATCGCTACTGGAGAGTTCGCCGGGACTGGGAATGCTCGGATCGTTCAGGTTGAGGTTCATGGCGACCTGCGAGCGACGACGATCACTGGGCATCCGACCCAGGCGAGGAGAGCCCCTGTTGCTCAAAGAGGACCTCCTGGACTCATTTGCAGCATTTGTCACAGCGGCAGCAGCGAGAGATATGGAAGAGCTTCGAGGAGAAGGGGTTTGTTGGCGGTTGGGAGGAATGGTGGTAGACTGCAGGGAGCGGGGTTGCATCGGTGAGGAAGACATCGATCTGGAGGGCGGAAGAGAGTTTAGGTCTGGAGGAGCCATCACAAAACGAGAGGGACTAGCAGAGAGAGAGGGAGGAAACGATATTAGTAGAAATGATGTACGGGTAGGGTGGAAATGATTACTGCGGTGGTTGTCATGCCACGACGCAATATCGTCAGGGTTAATCAAGGGAAATGGAGGGGGGATGGCGAAGAGAACAATACAGTGGGCAGCTGACTGGACAAGATGCTTGGCAGAAGGCAATAGAGCTAATAACACAAGGGATAAGTTCTCTAAGGAAGCCTCATTGTATTCGTAATTGCTCAGGCACTGGTCGTGTTGGTTAACCACTGAGTATGTGGAACTAAATGGCCCGGCTGGAGGAGGGAAAACGGGTGAGAAGCATCAAGCACAGATGAGTGTTTTGTGAAATAAGCAGCTATGACGACGATGGCCTGAGGTTTGGACTCGTAAGCGGAACAGCATGAGGTGGAGAGGGCGAGGGGCAAGGGACAAGGCTGTGTCACAGGGCTAGAGAAACAAGAGACTGGATGCCTGGCACCTTCCGGGCTGTACACCTGTAGGGCTGTTGAGGTGTTACTGGGTGGCACAAGGCATCCCTATGACTAACCTTAAGGCTTGTCCAGGCTTCCAGGGACACCCGCTGCTGCCCGGAAGAGTTTCTTGGGGATGGACGCGGGAAAGGGAACCACTGAGGCGACCTCTCGTGCCTCTCCAACCAATACGTCATTCAAGTCACGTCTCCTCCAGGCAACCTGGAATGCACCCAGGCACCTCGGCCACTCGTCTGCTTGTTGTGCCTCTCCCAGACTTCGCCCCTTCTCGAAATTGAACGCGTTCGAGTAAACAACCACAGTACTCGGTAGTGAGAGAGAGCCAAAGCTACAAAACCAGAAGAACATCGACACTGTGTCCAATCACATCCTCCACCCCAAATTGGCGACCGTGGGCCTGCACTAATACCGGATCGGGAGCTGGTTGTTTACATACTTGGGGAGTAGCTTCACCCTCCCCTTCCTCCCAGCCACTTGGATTTTTACCCGCTTTTGTGCTGGCTGCCCGTCCAACGTCCGCTCCCCCCCAGCCTCCTTCATCATCGTACACCATCACAACATCCGCCACTCATCCATCCCTCCCTCCGATCTCGCCGTCGCATTTCTTTCCTCTGCCTACGTCTCACATACACAATCGCGTTGCGCACATCAAGACGAAAAGATCGCGCACTTGTTCCACACTGTGCCTGTTTGGCCATCATGTCAGGGTTACCATATCTACAGAAACTGCGCAAGAGCGACCTCACCGAGTTCGCCGAGACCAGCAAATTGCCTGAGTACGTCCCTCCTCCTCGCGCCTGGTACCGACGCGTCGTTGTCTGAGTCGCATGACCTGGCGCATGCTTGCTGACTAGTATGCGACCGCAGTTATGCTCATTTGAAGAAGGCTGAGCTCGAGATCGCTCTCGACGAACACTTGCGCTCCAACTCGACGACCTACGGCAAGGATCCCTCTTTGAGCGAATACTACAAGCGTCTGGCGAGCAGCTCGCGATCGCCCACCAAGAGAACGGCAGCCGAAAAGGTCTCGGACAGTGTCAAGACGGACGACGATGTCCCTGCTCCTGTTAAAAAGCCGAGAAGGAAGACAACCTCGACCACTCAAGAAGCGTATGTATCGCGGCTCGTTCTCGTCCCCTTGGCCATCGCTGACAATTGCGCTCAATAGAGAGGAACCAGCACCAGTCGTCAATGCGCTCATCAAGACCCCAGCCAAAGAGGTCGCGCGTCGGACTTCGATTCTGGCCTCCCAGATTCCCATACCGCCCTCGCCAGCCGTCGTCACGGACGCCATTGACCAACAGACGCGTCGCATTCGAACCTCCATCTCCCATGCGTATGAGCAAACTCAGATCCATGAATTTGCTGATGCCACACGCGATATTCTCTCGTCACCTATGACGGTCATCGTGCTCGCTCTCCTGCTGGAGGCATATGGCCTCCGCCCGCAAATCTTGCCCAACAAGCTGTTGACTGAAGTTCCCCCCATCCCGTACATCAAGTCAACCAAGACACCAATCCTGGTGCCAGATCTTTTCCTGCTACTGGATTCCAAGTTCTGGTCCCCATTCTCACTGTGGATCCTGACTTCGCTGGTTCTCCCAGCCGCCATTTCGTACTTCATCAATCTACCGCTGAAGGCTCATCCTAGCCACAGTTATTCGACGCGTCGAGCGGCTCTCCAGGCGAACACGCAAATGCAATTCGATCCCTTCATTTTCAGTCTCGCCAAAGGGTTGATTGTATATCTGGTGTATGCCTATCACTACTCCCTGGGTGGGCTCTACAGTAACTATACGATTGCGACCGTCAATGAGAGTATTCCAGGCGGCTACTTTGCTGTGTTGGTCGGGTCAGGCTTGGGCGCTGCGGTCAGCTTGTACGAAGCTGTCCTGAAGAAATAGGGGATTATGGGATCGATGCGAACCTACAGAGAATCGGTACTGCTAGGGGATACGCAGTACCACGAAGCATTGGGTCTGGATGTGTACAGTGCTTAGGGTATTGGGGATGTCCATTTGGGAACACAGGTTGATACGAGTTACGATTATTGTCGGTTGACCATTGACGGCGCTGAGGGTTTCAGGTGGCTTCTACTTTCGAAGTTCCGTTTCCATGAGTTCGGTCGATTCGGCTCTATACCCATGGCGATAATATTGGGGCTGGTGCATGTCTGGTGTCTGCACTGGTGACTGGGTTGGAAAGGTTCATGTTCTTGTTTAGATACAAATCACAATCGCTTTGAAATTGAATTATGCACTTTCAGCATCTCGATCTTGGTAGCTTTTTTTGGGCTTCTTGTAACACTGGTTGATCCTCGACGAATATAATTCAGATGGTTGCACGAGAATAGAGGCGAAGTTTCATTCCAGGCTGCCACTTGGCACAAATGAATTAATACACCAGGATATGTACGATGTAATACCTCGTATCCTGACCATGTAGGCGAGTGCCCCGCAGACCATGCGAAAGGGGCCAATTTCTCGTGGAACAGTCAGTCAAGACCGAGCTTTCTTGATCTTCAGGCAGCCAGCTGCGGGATTCGAGGTGATGTGATAGCAATCTTGTCTCTCATGATTGCACCATCAATTCGACATTGAACAATCTCTTCTTTCAGGTCTTCACCGTCTCGGTGGATGGAAATCCATTTCCGCCTTTTCTAGGCGCTCCCCAGTCCGTGCAGCACCATCATGGATCCTGGCACGGTGTTCTCTGTTCTTGAGATTGTGGGCGCCGTGGTGAGACGCCTCGTCGAGGCTGGTCAGACTATGCACGATGCGCCAGAGGGTCTGACGCGAGTGATCAACGAGACGGAGAAGCTTCGGGGGCTGCTGGACCGGCTCTTGATCTTTCAACGGGCCCTTCCTCAGGAACAGCGAGACATCATCGACAAACAAGTGAACACGACCGAATGGAGAGATCTTCTGACAGATCTGGACAACCTCACGTCTGGCAGGAAACCCGGAGACACTGGATCCGGAGGCGGAGGAGGGGAGAAGATGAAGCTCGCTGACCGGTGGTGGTGGCTCCGGAGGAAAGACGTCGTCGAGGACAAGGTGAGGAAATTGCAGGAACAGACCGAATGGATCTCGAAGCGGCTCGTCAAGTATTTCCATCATTTTTCTTCCCTCGTTCAAGCTGCGCCAGGTGAAGAAAGAAACTGACCAAGAACAAATACATCGTTTTGTACAGCGAGTACCTCTTCGAACACCACCAACAGCTCTCTCAGAATTCTAAGCAAGTCTCAAAGATTCTGGACCTGGTCATGTCCGTGGCGCTCAAGTTGAACTCGGACAATCTGCCCTCGCCTCGATTCGACGACAACGGCGTATACTCTCCCTACAAGGCCGAGGGGATCGCCTGGTACGGGCAGTACCGCTGCAAGCCCGGCCAGGATCTCTCCATGCCCTACTTTCGCGACCGACGACTGCTGGCAGAAAGAGCCTGGGTTGGCAACTGGAATGGGGTGATGGAATTGCTCGGGATAGCTCGCAAGGAATACAGGCAGAATTGGATCAATTGCCCTCCTATTTGCATGTCTCCAAGATCTTCCACATATGCTATTCGAAGCTTATACTGACTTGTCTCTCTAGACAAAGCGACCGAGCAAAACAAAATCACCAGTGGGTTTAGACCCCTTCACCAAGCCGCGTGGCACGGTGACAAGTCAGCCGTGGAATCTCTGTTAAAAGAAGGAGCCTGGCGTGAGTGATGCAGCGTTTTTGCACGTGGTTTGCTTTGGGACACGGCTGATTTACTCTGGTCAGGTCTCGTGAGAACTTCGCGAGCGACCAAAGATTCGACCGAACACAGCACGCCACTGGACGTTGCCCGAGACCACGGGTGGAAAGATCTCTACGACAATCTCAGCCCAGTCATGAGACGGCCCGTGAGCCACAAGACCCTGCACACCCTACAGACGCACCTTCACGACTTGATCAAAGACACCTTTGGAGGCCATCCAGACGCGCATCTCGACTGTTTTCTCCTCCCGGAGCTGGAAATCCTGACCGAGTTTGAGCGGTCGCGCATCTGGTTCCCTCTGAACCCTGAACTGCCGGACACAAGGGACGGCCTCGCCGTCCACATCATCCTGGAGCGGAACGAGCTGGTTGCCGTTATGCGATGGGATAAAGTCAAGAGGAGGACCTATCGGATTTCCACGTCGAAAGTCCAGGAGATCCAGCAAGCCGTTGTCCTTCGCTAAGTGAGCCCTTACCGAAAAGTAAATAGAAGGGACGAGTAAGCGGCGGTGGCGAGCTGACGATGTGGTGATGTTTCTATGAGTGATGACGGGGTGTCTCAAGAGACCCAGTATGGGGAATGATTGCACTTTTCTCGCCAAACCTCTTGGAGGGACTAGTTGAGGCTCGATAATCTATATCTCACTTGGTTTATTCGATTACAGGACAGATCCAAAGGCCACATGCTACTTGAGGCCGTCGTACAGAAGCATCTGTTGGTAGATCCTTGGAAGTTACAATAGCTGTACCCGTCATCCTCCTCGATGTGATGGTTAGATGAATGGTATGTCGATGCAAGAGTTGACGCTGCTTGGACCAAATCCGCAAATTCTCAGCCTCGCCAGAATCAACCTCAATTAGGATAAGCGGTGAAAAACCAAGGATGCGGATAGGGCGGCATCATTTTGTGCCAAAACCAGGGGGAATGCCCACGAACTACTCATATTGGCATGCTTGGCAAGGCTACGGCATCATAGCCTCGTCCCAATATCAAGTGCCCAGTAACTTTATGAGTTGTTCTTGGATACTCTTCCGGGCAGGAAACACTGTGCTCGATAATAACCACACAACCCGGAGAGATGCCAGCCCCCGACAATATTTACGAGAACGATGTCGACTTCACGACGCTGGCGCTGCAATATCCCGATTTCGCCAAAAGGTGAGAAGGTCAAGATCCCCAGGCTCAGACCCCAGAGCACGGTGGATCGGACGAGGCAACTCAACTCCGTTATCTCTGTCTCTCTCCGTCGTCGTCAGTAAATTGTGGCGGGACAAACAAGTTTCAGTTTCAGCTAACGTCTCTGACGTCCAAGGCTAAAATCTAATCGTCAACTCGACTTCTCCGATCCCGAAAGCGTCAGGTATGTCGATCGAAAGGAGTTGTGTCTGGCTTTGTTTAAGTCTAGCTATTGCTGCATTCTTCTCTCCTCTATGACTCTGGATGACGGTTCTCCAGACAATTGACCAAATGCCTCCTTCATCGAGACTTTGATCTCACCGTCGACCTTCCAGAAGATAGGCTGTGCCCGCCTGTACGTTTATATCACCGCGCTTTAGGGGTGGAGTGATGTCTCTCTGTGCCCGTTGGTCCCATAGACAACTACCCACCCGATGGTGTTATTGATGTTGACGTTGGTGACGAATATACAGGTCCCCAATCGGTTCAACTACATTCTCTTCATCCAGCGTTTGCTGGACAGCACCTCTCCTTCTTTCCACCAAGGTTTCGACCCTGACAGACAGGTGATCGGACTCGATATGTGTGTAACTTTTTCCCGTCCCTGTTCCTATTTTCATCTAATACCACCCTTGTATAGGTCGTCCCTCACTTACTTTTGTCTCTATATCTCTCCATCTAGAGGGGATATCTGTTCGCTGGCTAACTCTTGTTTTCGAGCGCGTTGTGAAAAAGCGGCACAGGGGCATCTGCAATTTACCCGCTTCTTGCTTGCCGACAACGCCCTCAATGGCGCTTCCTGGCTACAGAGATCGACGAGAAGAATCGCGAGTACGCGCAGAGAAACATCCTCACCAACAAGTTACAGGCACGCATTAGACTGGTCGACACGGACGTCAAAGGAGACCGGCTAATCCCCACGGGCCAACTTGAGAGGTTTGACCGGTACGTGGAAGATGCCTTGCCCAGCATTCCTCCCTCACCCCCTTTGTCGTCTAACGGTGAAGAGACGAATTTACCTAGTTATTTGACTTTGCTGAAGGCCTTTTTTCTTTTTCGTGTCTTACAGAATTGACATCCTCCTCACGAACCCGCCTTTTTATGACTCGACAGAATCCCTCGTGGACTCCGCTCGCCAAAAATCCCGCCCGCCAAACTCAAGCTGCACCGGCTCGGCGGTGGAAATGATCACCCCCGGCGGCGAGGTCGGCTTCGTCTCCAAACTCGTCGCCGAATCACGCCTCCCGGCGAACAAGACGAAGATCCAGTGGTTCAGCGCCATGCTGGGGAAGTTGTCGAGTGTGGGCGCCGTCGTGGAAAGCCTTCGGGGCAGCGGATGCGGGAACTACGCGGTGACCGAGTTCGTGCAGGGCCAGAAAACGCGGCGGTGGTGCGTCGCCTGGAGCTGGATGGGGTACCGACCTCCCAACGACGTGGCGCGGTCCGTGGGCAGCGGGAGCGGCGTCGAGAAGAAACTGTTGCCTCCGATCACGGAGACGGAGTTCGAGGTTGAGGTGCCAGTACGGGGAGGGGACGGGCCGCTGAGCGTGCTCGACAGGGTCGCCGCGGAGATTCAGCGCTTGGACGGGGTGCTCTGGAAAATCGATCGAGCCAGCGGTGTGGGGATGTTCATGGCCAGGGACGGAGACGTGTGGAGTCGCAAGGCTCGGAGGAGGAAACAGGAGGCTGAGCGTGAACACGGAAGTGAATCTCAACCTCGCGCGAAGCGGATTGCGAACGAGCACGCAAGAGGGAGCAGACACGACGCAGACACAGACATGAAGGACGACGACGACGAAGACAACGACGACGAAGAACCCGAACCTGAGCCCGCCCTCGTCGTGCGCATCTCCATTTCGCCCTCTCCTCCTTCTAGTTCTCGCTCTGCCTTTCGCGGCGCCGAACAAACCCACGACACCCCGTCCACGTCCACACCCACGTCCGCACTACAGACCCAGAATCAGATCCACATGCGGCATCTCCAGGGTGAGGATCCCGTCCTCTTTGAGAGTTTCTGCGGCTGGCTCAAGCGGAAGATGGTGGTGGCGGCGTGATCGATCACTTCACTTCCATCGAGCCATCCGACCGACCAACCAACCAGTCAAGCATTGTTTTTCCATTCTCCTCCTATTGTATCGTAATGAAACGAAACGAAGAGGCAGAGTGAAGGGGAAAAGAAAGATCAATAAAATAAGCAGGACAGGATGAGATAACGAACGTCATTCCGCAATGAACAAACACATTCCCATTTCTCATTCTCATTCTTTCTTTTTCTCAATGGCCTTTCCTCTTTGATATACAGAGGGCACAAAGTCTCGTCTCGTTTCGTCTAGTTTAGTTCTGGTCCAGGGGGCCGAGATTCTAATTTTATGCAAGGCTGAACTGACTGGTACAGATGGAGTCGAGTCCATCCCGTGTTCCCCGTGGTAAAGTACAGGAAATGCCAGAGAAAGATAAGATGCTCACGCATTGGCATCTTGGGCCACAAAATATTTGTGTAGCAATGGACACATCTCTGAAAACCCTCCACCAAGTAAACCGCCATCTTGTTAAAAAAGCGTAGAGGCATAAATGGTCTGCCTGATCCTCCTCGCCCTGGTCCTCTTTCTCCCACTTCTCCCGTCTTTTATACAGGCCCCGTTCTGCTTGTTCGACTTCCCCTCCTCCCACCACTCTGTGAGAGCTCCAAGCCCCGGCTCAACTGACTTGGACTGGTGGGTGCAGCGCCAATACTGCCGTTTCGCGTCGAACTGACGCTGCCGTCCCTTCCCCTCATAAGAACCAGTTCAGGCATGTTAAACTTGACCTCTCCCACGCGGCGGAACATGCCCCAGAGTGCGTTGCGCAGCTCGGAGCCGATTTCTTTTTCTAACAAGCCCACGGCAAGGGGGTAGAATGTGTCGAGGTGCTTCTCAAAGCTGTCCTTGGGGAAGTTCGTGTACCCCTCTAGGACATCAATGACGACGGGCCTCCATGCGACGATGTTTCGTTGTTGAGTCTCCTCGTCCAGGAGAATGAAGGAGCGGATAATGTCGGCGCACAATCTTGAAGTCACCATGAAATTAGCAACAGATCGAAACTCTCAGGAGAAGACAATAACTTACGGTATCAGGGCACCTTCGGTTTGATCACGACTTGACCTCCGCTCTTCCCCTTCGTCATGATACATCCTGAGGAGGATACTAACATATGTATTCGCCGATCCGGATTCTTGCTTCAACAAGTTTGGTGGTTGTCGCATGAACCCTTGTCTCCAAAGAGCCATGCGGAGATCTTTGTCACCATTGAACTTCTTGGCGAATTGATACGACTTCTTCAAGAGCGCCATCAGGCGCAGGAGCTCCGATGAGGGAATTTGGGCATAGACCGAGTCGTTGGAGAAGAGCTCTGCGACGGTCTCGATCATTAGCAGCTGGAGGACGCAGTTGGTGATGATCTTGTTGAAGAACCGTCGGCGGGCAGCCGTCACCACTGGTGCAGGTGCTTGCATATCTGAATGTGGGCGATAATCCTCCAGCTCCTGAGTGCTCTGGGCTGCGGGAATTTCAGAAATATGGGCTGCCGAGCTTACTTGCGATTCCAAGGAGGGAGTTGCACCGTGAAAGGATGCGGGTGCACCATTCGTCGTTGGAGTTTCGACTATCGTGGTTCCGGAAATCGATAGACCGTCGGATCCATCGTGGCCTGGAGAAGGTCGAGCATCAGACATCGTTGCTGCGGCCGAGAACAGTTCATAAGCTGTCGTCCGGTTGAAGAGCTCGACGAATGCAGTCACAATTCGTGACCAATGCTCGGGAGAGAATTTCGTGACGTTCTGGAGAATCAGTTGCTGGAGACAGTTGCTTCCTATTCGAGCAATGGTGTCGTTTTCTTGACATATGCACAATGTGAGAAGATCCAGAAAGCGGTCAAGCATGTGTTCTAGTGAGTCAAAATAATGTGTGAAGAGTGTGATCATGTTTCGAAGAGCTTGGATCATTGTCGTCGACAGCCATACCGACAGTTCCTCGTGGTTGGGGGCCTTTGACATCTCCGACTTGCTCTGCAAGACGACAAAGATCGGGTATAGTAATTGGCGCCAAAGGACATCCCAGAACTCGGTAGGAAAATCACCGCCATATCTGATCAGCGTTTCAAACAGATAGGTGAGAGCTCTGGACCGTACTTCAAGATCCTCGCCCGTCATCAGAACATCCTGGTATGCAATCAGGACCGGGTACCAGAACTGTTCCTCCTCGGTTTGTGAGGTAGGTTGCTTGACGCCTGCTACCACGCCAGATTCCTCGT